CATACACACACACACATACACACACACACACAGAGAGAGAGAGAGAGAGAGAGAGAGAGAGCAAAGCACCACAGAGAAAGACTCCCTGCAGAGCAGAGAGGGGCCGGAAATACATTCCCCTGACAAAAGTCCAGAGGTCCTAAGCGTCCTTGGTGGCCTGGGATGGGTCCCCATCCCCTAATGTGGGTTTGATTCTCTGAGACTAAGAAAGAGGGAGCTACAGACTCAGGACGTCAGGTGAGCATGTTCATAACTGGCCTTCCTCGTTCCCAAACCATCCTGGACTGGTCAGCCAGAAGAGGCATGCTGGTGGGAGAATAAGCCCGCCAGGCCTTTGTCTCAGGTTGGAGGCGAGGGAGAAGCCAGAGTTCACCACTTTTATTATCTCTGTGTCCCCTCTCCCCAATCTGTCACCCTGCCAGGGGTCTGTCAAGTTCCTTGTTCCTCAGGATGACCTCAACTTCGGATCCGTCCCCACCCATCTCATTTCTGGGATCACAGACCTGCAACACCACAGCCCGTTTTATAGCAGACTTTAATTCTGTTTTTCAAACAGTCTTATGTAGCACAGGGTGGCCTGATCTAGAACTCACCATGTAGCCGAGGCTAGCTTTGAAGTCCTAACCTTCTTAATTTTTTTAAGATTTGATTATTTTGTATGTATAAATGTTGTGTGTACCCTGGGAGGCCAGGTGCCCATGGGACCATGGGACAATGGTCATGAGCTAAGATGTGGCTGCTTGGAACTGAACCCAGGTCCTCGGCAAGAGCAGACTGTAGATGGCTGGGCCATCTCTCCAGCCCAGATTTTTTTATTTTTTAGATTCTTATTTATTTCAGTAGAAAAAAATTCTGTGATCTCCTTTTAAACAGACAGCAAGCCATTCTTAGTGAAGTTCACGTAAAGAGACCCTTCCAAAGACACACGTGTCTGTCCTCACACTGGAGAAGGGAAAGCACGTGACGTTCACTTCGGATGTGGCCTTGGCTTCGCAAGGAAAAGATTACTCTTCGTCATAACTCACCAATAATGCATCAGAGTCAACTCTCGAGATTCTTAGGAACAGGGAACAGCTGAGGGTGCTGACCCTTTCTGGGACTCGTGGGCCGATGACGAAGCGCAGCAGCCGGGGCGTTGGTTTCAGCTCCTCCGCCTTTCGGGTTCATCTTCATAAAGTTCAATGAAAACTTTCTGTTCCTGTTCCTACTTAATAAAAATAGCAAGAGAAGCATCCACGGAGCTAGGAGATGACAAAGCTCTGAACAGCAACTTCCATTTCACCACAGCTATGATAACGATCAGAGGACAACTCCCAAGGACCGCTTCCTTTTGGCCTTGTGTCCTTCCTGTAGTCCACTGGCCCTGCCGGGTGTGTGGTCTAGGCAGGACTCTGGCTCCCAGCAGCCCTGTTTGCCAAGTGCCACCACCTCGTACAGGTCACGGCTGACTTGACTAAAGGGGCTTGGACAGTCTTGAGAGCACTGAAGTCAGACAGCTACTGAAAGCAGAGTGGGAATTTGTCTTCTCGAGTCCATCCGTTTCCAGACGCTAAGCACCTTCAGCCTCCCACCCCTCTCTCTGCCTCCGATTCTAGGAGGAAAAGGACTCGACTTCAAAGTCCTCGCCGTCTGCTTAGGGAGAAAGGATAAATCATATAGAGCCACTTCCTTCTCTGTGCATGGGGGACTCTAATCCGAGCATCCCACCAGATGCCCTGAACTGCAGAGATTTTGAAACCAGGGTGTCCTGGTTAATGTCAGAGCCATCTGTGTGCAGGGCAGCGTGCCGGTGGGGAGCTGGATGGACCAGCACTCAGACCCCAATGTCAATATGACAATCAGCTTTGAATGCTACTGTCCAACCGGTGTTTACTAGTGCCTGGGTTTAAGTGTTTTATAGGATTTGATACCTTCAATCCACTCTGTTACACTCAGTAGATTGTTCATCGAGACAGGGTCTCCACTGTGCATCTCCAGCCGTCCTGGAACTCACTCTGTAGACCAGGCTGGCCTCGAACTCACAGAGACCCACATGCCTGTGCCTCCCAAGTGCTGGGATTAAAGACGTGTGACACTGCACCCAGCCCATTCGTTTATTTAAAAAGTATTTTCATGTATGCCAGGTAGTGGTGGCTCACGTCTTTAATTCCAGCACTTGGGAGGCAGAAACAGGAGAATCTCTGCGAGTTCAGGACCAGCCTGGTCTTCAAGTTCTAGGACAGACAGGTTCCAAAGCTGCAGAGAAACCCTGTCTTGAAAAACAAACAAAGAAAAAAAGAAGAAAAGGAAGGAAAGTGCTCTGGGCGGTGGTGACCCACTCCTCTAATCCCAGCACTATGGAGGCAGAGGCAGGAGAATTTCTATGAGTTAGACCAGGCTGGTCTACAGAGTGAGTTCCCGCATAGTTAATGCTACGCAGAGAAACCCTGTCCTGAAAAATCCAAAAAGGGAAGAAAGAAAAAGAAACACAGAGTTCCTCAGTGGCCCAGGAGTTCCAGTCTTGGCTATATGCGTGAGAAAGAGATAAAAGTAGTGTATGTCGAATAAAACCACAGATGACAAAGTTCACAGAAGTACTACCTGTAGCTAACGTCCACCCCAGATGAGTGGAGGAAACCTGGTGGTACAGATATATGGAACGCTATTTGCCCATAAAAAAAAAAAAGGAATAGGGCTGGCATAAGCTACACACCTCAAAATTGGTGCTCCAGGGCCAGCGAGCTGTCTGGGCGCTGGGAAATGCTCTTCCTGAGCAAACATGCCATTGACCCCTGGGACCCATACAATGGCAGAAGAGAGAACCAGCTCCACACCGCTGTCGGCTGGGATCCCAGTGTTTGCGATTCCACAGGTTAAAGGGGAAATTAAGATGAAACTTGCTCAGTCCAACACCTCAAGGTTCGGTGACTTTCCTTTCCTCTGCCACTGTTGGTTTTTCTCCCATCTGCCTGACCTGAAACTTTCTATATAGATCAGGGAGACCCCAAACTCACAGAAATCCCCCTGCCTCTGTTTCCTGAGTGAGTGTTGGGTTTAAGGATATAACTGTTGCACCCACTTTTCTTTAACTCTTTGAGCTAAGGTCTCATGCAGCCCAGGATGATCTCAAGTTCACTATACATCCAGGGTGGCCTAACGCCCGGCCTTCCTCCTCCACCTTCTACACACACCGCTATCTCCTTCAGTCCAAAGCTACTCCATCAGGCGTCGTTCATTCCAGAAGTATTTGCTGGATACCCACAAACACCGGGCCACTGTTCCGAGCACTGGGGCTCAGCGGTGAGCAACTGAATCTGTCCTCTTCATTTGTGACTGCCTCATCTGGGAGTGGTCCGTCTGCCCCTCCATGACGTCAGGCGCCTCCACACTCTTCTTCACACCCCCAGAGTTTGCCGCAATCATTGTTTACTGGTTGAATGTCTTTCCCTTGGCCATTGTCTGATAGAAAGGTGTGGCCTGACCATAGGGCTTGTTCCTCCATGATCAGGGCAAACTTTGATCGAGGGAAAGCTGACAGTATCTTGTGCTGGGACAAGCATTCTTTCCTCTATCTCCCCCCAGGGCCTTGCCCTGTGCCTTTTACGTGTTCACCCACTAGGGCTCCTAAGGTCTCCTTGAGTGCCTCTTCCATACATGACTTCTGAGAATGGGAACATGTAGGAGAACTGTGGAACCGCCATCTTTGAGGTGGCCAGTCAAATAAATCTAGACACTTCTTGTTACAATTGGGGAAACTGAGGCCTGAACACATCTCATGGATACATCCACAAGAATGGGCAGATTCTAGGTGAATTCCTCAACCAGGGGAGCAAACCGCAAGTTCAATTGTGCTTCTGTGTTATAAATGCTGTGGGTAATCCCAGCATTCTCACCGCAGCTCACAACTATCTGTACCTCCAGCTCTAGGGTACCTGACACCCCCATACAGACATGCAGGCAGGCAAAACACCAGCGCACATAAAATAAAACAGAACAAGACAAAAAAAAAAAAAACCCAATGATGCCGTGAATGATTTTATGGTTTTGGTCAGTGTTCAGAGTGTGTTTTCCTTTGTTAGAACTGGGGATCTAACTGCCCTGGTGTTTGGCACTGTAACACTGAGCTCCTGCACACTAATGTCTCATGGGGGCTTCTCTGAGGGTTAGGGGCTTAATATCAAATTCAGCGGACAGAGACTCTTGTGATGAGATCACGACTGAACTCCTTGAGGTGTCGGGTTGTGAAAGATGCTTAAACCTCACTCATTGGTTGTGACTTGGGCCACAGAATGAAGGAAAGAGAAAATGAAGTAGATGAAGGGGTTAGGAATGAAATTACAGGGCCAGGCGGTGGTGGTGCACGCCTATAATCCCAGTGAGTGGGAGGCAGAGGCAGAGGCAGGGGATCTCTGTAAGTTTGAGGCCAGCCCGGTCTACAAGAGCTAGTTCCGTGACAGCTAGGGCTGTTACACAGAGAAACCCTGTCTCGAAGAAACAAAAACAAAATGCATTAAATTACAGCCTGTGGTGGTGGCACTTGTCTTTAATCCCAGCACTCAGATCTCTGTGAGTTCGAGGCCAGCCAGGGCTACTAAGAGAAGCCCTGTCTTGAAAAACAAAACAAAATAAAACAGCAACAACAACAACAAAGAATCAAATTACACCCTACTTACATTTGGTACCACTGCTTTTGTGTTTTTATTTATTTCTAGTGCCAGGATTGAACCCAGTTCATCTCTTATGCAGGCAAGTACACCAAGCTCCACCCTCAAGCTACCAGGACTCTCTTTAAAACACTAAGTCCCAAACACAAGAAACAAATCCCGGTCCACAAAACAGTGGGACCTTGAATCTGTTGCCTGACTTTTTCCCCACTGCTACTGCTCCCCCCCCCCCCTCGTTGGGTAGGCCTTGAGACATAATCTCTGAACCCCTCTGTTGGATCAGAGGGTCAGCTGACCGGAAGCCAGTCCTATTGTATGTAAAAGACTCTTAACTAAACTTTCTCTATTCCAGCTGTGCCAAGTGGCCGGCAATTTAAGATCTCCCTGGAAAGAGACTCTCAACAGATCACAGTCCTGTCAGAACAGCCCAGGAAGGTCAGGCACGGGGCTCGAGACAGGTGAGTAGAAGTATTCTGTCTCTTCGGGAAGTAACCTGGTGATTCTCCCGGGAGGTGGCTTGGCTTAGGGTAAAATTAGGTCCATTTTTCGTTATAAAGAAGACATTACCAGTACTAGGCCTTTGTGCGTCTGACCTCAGTCGGTCTGCCTTGGACACAACCATGGCTACGCCACATCGGAGAAAGAAATGCAGAATGGAAGAGTTGTATTCAAGGTCATCCGGGCTGAGGGGCTGAGGTTGAGGACATGGAGGGACTGGAGGCTACCTGGGGGCTTCACTCCAGGCATTGTTAGTCTGTGTTCCAGGCTGTTCTGCCCTCCCTCCTCCACCCCACTTCTCTCTCTGTTTTTTTGAGACAAGGTTTCTCTGTGTCCTGACTGTCCTAGAACTTGCTCTGTAGACCAGGCTGACCTTGAACCCAGAGATGCATCTGCTCCTAATGCTGGGAGTGTGTACCACCACTGCCTGGCCCAGGCTGTCCTCTTTGACTGTTACTTCTATCTGCTGAGAAGACCTTGGCTGTGACTTTCACAGTGCCCCAAGAACATCTCTCTTTGCTGATGGTAGAAAGAGTCCCTGACTTGGAGTTTGGGGGCCTGGATCAGAATCTTGGGTTGACTGCTGTCAAACTAAAGAGCCCTGTCTTTGTAGACAGCTAGGCTTGGATCCTGGCTTTCCCCTGCTGATCGTATGGCCTGGGGCAAGATGTTCTCCTTGCAGAGGCTCAGCGTTCTGTTCTGACCTCTAGAGGAAACTGGTCCATTTGAGACCCACCAATCTATTCATTCTTTCCCCTAGATACTTTGTGGCAAACCTGGGGTTTGAATGTCATTTGATCCATTGAGTGTCTAAGAGGGAGCGTTGCATTAGGCAGGTGGACCACCTCCATTTCTAGGCCGCTCTGGGTTACAGAGTAAGTTCCAGGCCAGACTGGGTTACAGACTGAGACCCTGGGTCAAACAAAACAGAAAGCAAAATGTGGTTGTAGGCTTGGAATCCCAGCACTTGGGAGACAGAAGCAGGCAGATCAGGAGTTCAAGGCCAATCTCAGCCTACATATTGAATTTGAGACCAGCCTTGATTACTTGAGATCCCCATCTCTAAAAACAAAACAAAAAAAAATGTAGCTTGTTTTGGATTGAGACAAACATTGATTGCCTTGCAGTCATAGAATTCACTCATCAGTAAAGGGTATGTAAAGGTACTCACTGAAGATGAGAGAGAGAGAGAGAGAGAGAGAGAGAGAGAGAGAGAGATTGATTGATTTATTTGAGGTAGAATTGGAATGAAACCATATAAGAAACATATTTCTTATAGTTAACTTCATAAAAGAAGTACTTGCATCCTTCTTTTATGTATGTCTATGTGTATGTGTGTGTGTGTGTGCGCATGCACCTGTGTATGTGCATGTACATACACACATATGTAATCCAGAAGTCAATCAGAGCACCTACGTTGGCTTTTAGTTTAGTTTTATTTATTTGGTTGATTGGTTAGTGTTTGTTTTTGAGCTGGAGTCTCCTCATTTAGCTCCAGCTGGCCTGAAACTCACTAATAGAGCAAGCGGGCCTTGAATTTATAGAGATTTACCTGTCTCTGCAATCCAAGTACTGGATTAAAGGCGTGTGCTATCACGCCAGCTTATAAACTTTTTCTGACTTGGTTTTAGAGGCAGGGTTCTGTCAGTGAACTCGGAGCTTGCAGATTTGACTAGGATTAGCTGGCCAGGGAGCCACCTCCCTAGCATGGGGCTTGCAAGCACATGCTACCGTGCCCAGCTTTCTGATTGGTTATTTGGTAGGTAGGTTGGTTGGTTTTTCCAAAGGCTCTAGGGATGAAATTTAGGACTTTTTACTTGTATCACAAATGTATTGACTGAGCGAGTTCCCTGCCCATCTTTTGTTTCTTTCAATCCCAATGTATACCAAGTGTGAGAATCAGCCGTGGAGAATACATGCCAGTGTGGCACCATAGCCACATACACTCGAGATGCTCTGTGCAAGCTGGCAAGGGGACAGCTGTGGAGTGAGGAGCCCAGCGACACTGTGTGTCCTTGTTTGAGGTCTAGCATCTAGAGGGGAGGAGGCTAGGTCCTGACTGGCCCAAGGAGGAGCTTTGGCCCCTAATCTTGGCTAATATTGGAATCATTAGGGGAAGCCACATACGTCCTTGTCCTGATCCCAGTCACTCAGAGGCACACAGTTCTGTCTTGTTTGTTAAGAAAAGGGCTGAAGGGATAGAACTCAGTGGTAAAGTCCTTCCCTAACTGCTTAGGTTCTATATTCAGTCTCTAGCACCTAAATAAGTAAATAATCCAACCAGCCACCGGGAAGTCTAAGAGAAAGAATGCAGGAAGAAGGGCAAATTAAAGAGGTGTGACTTTATCCTGAAATCTCGTCTGTTCTGGCCCCAGAGTCCCTCCAGTGGTTCTCATGTGCAGCCAGATTTGGGGTGACTAACCTCAGGTAGTGGGCTCCAGAGGCCCTAGGACACCCTTGTCTATAAAACACCAATTCTAAACCAGGCTCAAATCTGTACTCTCATCACTTGAGAGGCTGAGGCAGGAGGAGAGTCACCAGTTTGAGACCACTTTCAGGCTAGTCTGGGGTAGAGTGAGACCCTATCTCAAACAACAACAACAAAACTCCACCCAACAAAACTGATGAAACAAATGTATTTTGGACTCACTGTGGTTTCGTATTTCCGTGGGCCTGGAGTGGTTTCTCCTTCATCCCTTATCTGATAAAGATGAGGTGGGATGAAACTTCAGAGAGAGCTCCTTATTTACAGATTCCAGGACTCGAAACAGAGAGTCAGGTTCAGTGTCCTTCCCTCAGAACGCCCTAAGGCTCAGTACACTGTCACAGTGTGACCCTATGTGAGAAATGCTTTGGCAAGTCCCCAAAGTTTGAAGGACACCAAAGCCAGCCTTGGAGACAAAGAATACAGGAGTTTGATGTGTGGAAATCTCCAGGTCGAATCTGAGCACTAAACATCTCCCACCGTTATGTTCACAGATAGTTCCAAGCCTTGGCACAGAGGCACACACACGCACACGGTTGTTTGAGTTTCTGGCTAGTAACCTTTTTAAATTCTTTTTTTTTTTTGAGACAAGGTTTCTGTGTAACTTTGGAGCCTGTCCTGGAACTCATTCTGTAGACCAGGCTGGCCTCAACTCACAGAGGTCCATTTGCGTCTGCCTCCCGAGTGCTGGGACTAAAGGTGTGCACCACTACCTCCTGGCAGTCTTTTTAAAATTCTCTAACAGGCTTTTGTTTTGTTTTATTTTGTTTGAGACAGGGTCTTTCTGTGTAGCCCTAGCTGTCCTGTAACTTACTATATAGACCATGCTAGCCCCGAACTCACAGAGATCTGCCAGCCTCCTGAGTGCAGGGATTACAGGCTTACCAAGGCAGTCTTTAATAGAGTAAGCGAATGTGTATTTTTATTTATTTTTATCTTTGTTTTCTTTCCTCCACCCCTCCTTTGATACTTGCCCCCCCCCCCTTTAGAGACGGGGTCTCACTGTGTAGACCAGGCTGGCCTCAAACTCCCAGAGATCCACCTGCCTCTGCCTTTAAGTGCTGGAATCAAAGGCGTGTGCCACTATGCCTGGCTCCCCACTCCCTTTTAAAGATGGGACTCACTACGTTGCCCAGGCTAGTTTCAAACTCATGATTCTCCTGCCTCAGCCTCCGGTGCTGGGATTACAGGTAGCCCCTGCTACACACACATACCCCGAGCTCTTATTTCTATTATCTGAGGAGACTGGAAGCATTGTTCGACGTGGAAATAAGAACTACGGGCCTCCTTTCAGAAGTGCTTTCCTCCTCTGTGCTAGGCACAGCCCTGGTAGGGCATCGGGAGGCCTGGATCTCCTGGCTAGCCAGTAGGGTTAGAGAATTCACTCTGAAATAGAGGGGGCTGGTTCCCTCAGTCACCCAAAGTACCAGAGGTTGCCCTTTAGAAACACCTCTCTAGGAGAGGCGGTTTCAGTTCTGCTGGTGGTTGGGACTTCCTTAAACACTTCTGTCATCCTGAAAATGTAAAAGTTCACCCGGCCTGGTGGCGCACACCTTTAATCCCAGAACTCAAGAGGCAGAGGTAGGCAGAGCTCTGTGAGTTTGAGGCCAGCCAGCACTGTGCAGAGAGACCCTGTTTCAAATAACCTAAATAAAGGGATAAAATGGAATTTCTTTGGTTCCCACAGCAGGGCCTGTTCGCCAGGCCTTCAAGGTGCCCTCACATTTAACGGAAATGGCCTGCTGGCATTCCCAGTCTGAAGGTCCACTGGGATGGATGGTGATTTCTTTGACAGATCTGGATAGAGCAAATGGGCATCTCTGAGTTAGAGAGAGAGAGAGAGAGAGAGAGAGAGAGAGAGAGAGAGAAGCATTCTCTAGGGGTAAGACTGCTTACCTAGTATGTTCATCCTCAATACTGCAAAAACAAAATAATAACCTCAGGGAAGCCCACCCATGGAGAATAGTTTGTAATTTCCAGTGTATGAACCAGAATTACAGGAGCCAAGAATCTTTCATCTTGCCTTTGTGTAAGTCAATTCTTTTCAATTAAATGGATTCTGTAAAATGGTTTTGTTTTGAACTCACAGAGACCCACCTGTCTCTGCTTGTGAAGTACTGGGATTAAAGGCAAGACTACCACTGCCTGGCTTGTTTTGGTTTTTAAGACAAACTCTCATGAAGCCTAGGGTGTTGTGGAAGGCCACTTGTTCATTCCTGACTGCCCAGACTCGAAATAACCACACAGAAACTGTATTAATTAAATCACTGCTTGGTCTATTAGCTTTACCTTCTTATTGGTTAGCTCTTACATCTTAATTTAACCCATTTATATTAATCTGTGTATCACCACATGGCTTACTGGTAAGGTTCTGGCTCATCTGTTCCAGGCAGTGGCTTCATGACATCTCTCTCACTCTGCCTTCTTTCTCATGCATTCACTTTAGTTTTCCCTGCCTATCTCTATTCTGCCATG